GTGTTTTGAAACTGTATACCAGGGTTTGGGGCATTGAGAGTGAGCGGATTACCACTGGGGACAAAAGCTCTCCACCACCGCAGCGATGAGCCACACAGCACCGGCTGCACGCTAATCTGGCCCCTATTAAAAAGCGGTTAGTATCGCACTGTGGCAGGTTCTTGAACAAAAGAAAATTAGATTGCACGGCACAATTTTGGGCTCTCTTTACAAGGCTGCAGGCCTGGCTGAAATACTTGGGCATCAATGAAGGTCACCTATCAACTTAGACTAGTGCCTAAGATTACTTCATACGTCTATGAAAGTCCGTTAAATGAAATGATGAATTTTTGAAGAATTTTGAAAACAGAAAAAAATGATAATTATGCCTGCCCAGCATCAGCAACATCAGCAACAACCACATTTGTGGTTGGAATCCAGACTTATTTGGTTGTGTTGGTAGGTTTCAGGGGTTTACATTTAAGATTAATTTGGAAACTACATGTAGATGTCGGTACAAGTACCTCTGATATCATCCCCAGTGCACATTTGGGTACCCACTTTCCAACTTGGAAAATAAACACAAACATGAAACATTTCTTTCATCGTGTCGGTAATATAAGGTTCTTATTGAAAAAAATGCAGTCATTGAAAAATATCATTTAAACGTGAAATTGGGCCAAAAGTTATGGGTATAGAATAAATGTGTATTGATCCCCCCAATAAATTATACAAATAAAATAGTCTAGAAAATGATCTGTTTCAATTGAGTATTTCTCACAAGCTCAGAGTAACGCCCTAAGGTTGTTTGTCAGTTTGCGGCATGCGTGCATAAGGACCTTTCAGCACTGGACCAATGCTGTGTCATCTTACAGTAGGTTTTTGGAAGTGTAGGGCACTTTAACCACTTACTGCTGGGTGGATTTTTCTTGAGCAAGACAAGATGCCGGGTCCTTCTCAAGATTTTCCGTTTTCAAAATTCTTCAAAAATTCATTTCATGTAATGGCTGTTTATACCCACATGAAGGACTCCTTGGACACTACTCTAGATAAAGCTGACAGGTAACCTTCATTGACTCCTGAATATTTCAGCCAGGCCTGCAGCCTTGGCAAAAGAGCCCAGATCGTGCAGTGTTACGTAAGATTCTTTTGTTCCCGAAACCGGCACAGTGCACCGCTGACCTCTTTTCAAGAGGGGCCAGATTAGTATGCAGTGGTGCTGTGTGGCTCATCGCTGCGGTGGTGGAGTGCTTTTGTCCCCGGTGGTAATCCGCTCACTCTAATTGCCTCAAACTCTGGTATACTGTTTCAAAACAAGGCTGGATTATCTCCACTATTGAGAGCAAAAAAATGTCGGTAATGCCCAGCAGCTCAGTCTTTCGTGCTGAGCATGGTCTTTTGTTATAAGGCCCAACTCTTTTGTCCCAGTTCCGGGCTCCCTGGCTCTGCATATAAAGCCTATGTACTCAAAAATGGGGTCGCCCGGCAGGAAGTTGTTAATTGTTTATGTATGTTGGACGTCAACAGAATTACCTGGAAACTCACAGAGTAAATGAATATTCAGATCAGCCAGCTCACAAAAATAGATTGATGAGTGAGCCAAAGCACAAGTGACCTGTTTGCCTTTTTTCCCTCAGGAAGAAAGACCGGCAGGCAGAGAAAGAGCGTAACCAGCTGCAGCACCAGGCCAGGGACTTGCAGGAAGCCCTGGCCAGGATGCAGGAAGAGAAAAGGGATGCTGAGGAGAAACTGCTGGAAGCAAGCAACGAATCCATGCAGGTCAGACGCACACCAACTATGGCATTGTACTTCACAATGGCCTTGTCTTGCTTCACAAGTAATCTTTGGTCTTCAAAAAACCCATGAGTAACGCGACCTCAGTGTGAGCCACAAAGCTGTTCATGCTGGAAGTACCTTATATTAAACATACCTTTTGCTGTTACCCACTTTTGAGAGCTGTGACATATGAAAAGTTGACATCGACGTGCCTTTAGAATGGTTTGGCTTCTGAACATATAACTAACTGGAACATTAGCAGGAGGTTTTGTGTGCTGATGTACATATAAGTACGGAATTAAAAACAGCAATGATATTTATGTAACACCTTCAAGAGAGCATCTCCAGTGTCAGAAGGTTCCCTTTAGAATGCCGTGTTCTCATTCTGTAATGGTCGGCCCTTCCATTGGGAACACAGCGTTCTCACTGGAACACTTCCTCAGCACTGTCTATGCATGAATCTCACCGTTCCCACTGATAATGAGCATTTTATGGAATGCAAGCGCTCTAGTGGGAATGGTCCTGCCGAATGCTGTTTTCCTGACTTTTGAGACATTTCCTAGGTATTATAAGATGGAAGCACTTGACATTACTATGATTTCATTTGGCCCATTTTCAGTGCTTTACAGAGAAAATTAAAATGAGGAGCCAGGTCGATTTTTGTACATACTGTACACACATATGCAAAATACACAAGTTACGTGAACAAACTGACAAAACACACAGAAACATTATTCTGTCAATTATTCACAGGACAGACAGGCTTTGGATTTTGTGCTTGTGGAATAAATCAAAAGTGGCACCCATGTTATATGAAAAAGAGCTGAAAGAAAAGACAAGGCATGTTTGTTCTCTTACATTCGAGCATTTGGTACCTGGGACCGGCGCTGGAAACGTGGGGTGCATAGACTGCTATTGCATCTCATGAATACGCACATCTCAGCTCCCCATACACACTCTATTCAGCGTGCGACCACAAACCAGTCAACTCGGGTACCTAGTACCTGTACGTGCGTGTATGTACCTACATGTAAGCTACATGTACGCTGCAGTTAACGTGAGCTATGCTGTGTACGTAGGAAGACGGAGGAAAACCGCTTGATCATAAAGACACACATTGCATGTGGAAGAAAACTGGGCAGCGATCATTCGTGGAATATGACTGACAAGGTGGGTGACTAAACGGGCACAAATCATGGTCACCATTGGTGACAAGAATTAAACATTTCGTCGCATATCATTATCTTTAGGTGCATATGCGATGGTTTTGGTCGCACCATACAGCGCTGGGCATGTTACGTCCCATGTTGCCAATCTCAGGTTCCTGGGGAGCATGCAGCTTGACACTGCTACATGTATTTCGGTAAAAATTCGGAATTGTCAGACTTCGGTCTTCACAGGTACCCATTTTACTCCTGGATAGAAATAACACAATTTCTGACAAGTAAGGTGGAAAGCTTGTGGTAGCACCATCCAAGGATACGATCTCTTTGTGAGTCTGTATGGTTCTGAAAAGAACCATGAACCATAAAGACTCACAAAGAGATCGTATCCTTGCATGGTGCTACCGCAAGCTTTCCCCCTTAGTTGTCTGTCACCATGAATAGCTTGAAATCCCTTCTGACAAAGTGTTGCACACTATTCCAAAGGCTAAACTTGAACAACAGTCTTGCAGAATCATCTTCAGTTTAGAGTTGGGTGCTTCAGAATAAGCCACAGCATACAACACAGAACAATATTCATAAATGCGCCATTCTATGGTTAGCTGGACCATGGCTCTCTACATGGTGAGGATGTTGTAGTTTCATACTGCTTTTTTGCAGTGTCCGGCTTGTGAAGAAACATGTTCTTTGGTCAGTAAGTTTTGTCCATTTGTAAAGACAACCTAAGCTACATGTAGTTGGTTATGGGAATCTATCAATGAATACCTCCAGATCACAGCCAACCTTCAGGAGGCCCACTCATGGTTCAAGGCCCGGCATGATGCCCTCCAGCAGGAGCTCACTGAAGCACGGCAGAGACAGACCCAACTGGAGAGGAACAATGCGGAACAGCAGCAGCAGTTGCTACAGGAGAG